ATTATCATTCATATGTTTAGATGTTGCAAATGGATATTCACAGCATTTCGTAGAATATGTGAGAAAAGTAAGAGCGCGATATCCGAATCATACTATAATTGTAAGTATAATTGAATATCTCATTATCTTTATATATATGGTGTCTCAAATTTAAATTGCCAAACTTCGGGAGCAGTAGGAAATTGATATGAACTAAGAAAATAGATCTTTGAAAATATGTTTGTTTTTGCTTCGTTTTGAAGAATATTACAAAAAAAAACAAATCATAATTTTTTAAATATTATTTTTTTCGAAATGGAATATTATTGTTTTCGTGTACGATTTCAACGATAATGCTTTAGAGACAGTACAAAAGTACGCACGCCGATTTCCAAGCAAGAGTGCTGATCAGCAAGTCATTGTTGACTAGATTAATGTTTGGTACGAACTGTTCGTACAAAATGCAATGCGTGCAAAAGGTCAACATTTTAGACTATATCTGCATTAAACAAGTAACAACGGAAATAAATAAGTATGAATGAATAACTAACAAATAGATATAAAAAAGAAAGTTACGTTTTGTCTTTTTTTCTTCAAAATGAAGCAAAAACGAGCATATCTCTAAAGGACTTTTCCTCTTAATTTTTTTGTCCTCTTTATTGATCTCCTACACGCATTTATAAGGCCTGTTCTTTTTAGCTGAATTTTTACATTAGTTCATCTTTCTTCCTTTTCTTTTTAGGAGGAAAGAAGAAAGATGAATTGATGCAAAAGTTCAACCAAAAAGAATAGGCTTATATAATGTTTGGTCATTTAAATTCGGGACACCCTCATATAGGCTCAATTATTTAAACGTCAATGCATATTTTGTATTTAAACAAAAAGATTAATTGCTGCCACTATAGGCAGGAAATGTTGTAACAGGAGAAATGGTGGAAGAACTAATACTCTCAGGAGCGGACATAATTAAAGTAGGAATTGGTCCAGGTTCCGTCTGTACAACGAGGATGAAAACCGGTGTTGGTTTTCCACAATTGAGCGCCGTAATTGAATGCGCGGATGCGGCACATGGTTTGAAAGGCCACATTATTGCTGTAAATATTTTATTATATTCTGTATTACAAATAGCACAAATAATCGTTGAAAGGTTTCGCTTTCATGTTTATGTTTAGTGATTGATGTTTATTGTTCAGGACGGTGGATGTACCTGTCCTGGAGATTTAGCGAAAGCATTCGGTGGTGGCGCAGACTTTGTCATGGCAGGCGGAATATTTGCAGGTCACGATGAATGTGGGGGCGAAGTTATAGAAAAGAATGGAAAGAAGTTCAAACTTTTTTATGGAATGTCCTCCAATACAGCCATGCTAAAGCATGCTGGTGGTGTTGCAGACTACAGGTGAGACTGCAACAAGTTATAGCGCTACAAACAAGTATGTGTGTTGAAATAATTAATAGAAAATCGTCCGTTCTTATTTCAATGCATAGATCTTCGGAAGGGAAAACTGTTGAAGTGCCTTACAAGGGTTTAGTCGAAAATACTGTGCTGGATATACTAGGCGGCTTGAGATCCGCTTGCACTTATATAGGAGCTCAACGTTTGCGCGAATTACCACGACGAGCGACGTTTATACGCTGCACGCAACAATTAAATCCTTTATACGGACCACCCCCAGTAATATAAAGATTATAATTATTAAATTGTGCTCCTTAGTAAAAGGCTTAGGAAAAAAATGTTTAACGCCAATATTTGATCGTGTATTATTTGCTGGCAAATAATGTTTATATATGAACGAAAATGCAATCTTGTAAAATGTTTACCACTGTATCGTGTAATAATGTTTAAGTATTACGAATTAATTATGCTCAAATGAAAGAACGTTATACAATACGTTATACACCTTCATGCACAAATAAAAAATTCCGTTACATTAAGCCGCCGTTTCATGTTATTGAAGATATTCTGTTATTAATAATCAATCATATATTATTATATATCATTCTATCCTACAGCCATAAATTGAAATGTTTTAATTATCTTTAATTATACATTTCATATTTAAACAAAATGAGTAACACTAGCTTATATTGTTCTTTTTATTATGAATATGCACATGTGTATTTTACAATCCTTATATGAAATGTGCACTGTACTACTTATAGTAAACTCTACTCTCGGTTTAGTATTTTACAGAAATATTTATAAGTAAAAATTTTTCGTACGTATTTGCTATTTGCTTCTCTTGATCAGAGAAACTGGAAAGTTTTCTGTTGCGCCTGTCCCTGAAACATTCGCCAATGTTAATTAATTATATGCACAAAGTATAAAATATAACAGAAAAATATTTTAACTGATCAAAGAAATTTATAATATACATAAAAAGAAAGAGAGAAATATTATTATGCTATTATAATAAAATAAAAACATAATTTACGAGGTTGTAAATACCGATACTAGAGGTTTGACAATATAATTGATTAAAATACTTGCCAGTAATGTTTATGGAGCGACATACAATCGCCCTATTTATATTCTATCATATTTTCTCTATTATAATAAATAGATTTCGTATAAGATATTTGAAACTTGTACATAAATAATCCCTCGAATATAATTAAACCTAATATATGATTCATGAGAAAAGTTCCTGTTTTTTTTTACTTATAATACATTTCTTATTACATTATATTTTATCATTCTAATTTTATTTAATAATTAATATCTGTGCAAAGTAATATTAAAAATATTATGAAATAATGCGTAAAAAATTTACAACGAAAAATTTTCATATTGTAAAAGAAGAGATATTTACGAAAATTACTCGATTATACATTATAAAAATGTAATGTCTAAATAATGTAAAGAAAAAATCATGTAATTATTATATGTATTTTTCATTTGATAACCTTCAAACCTCAAAATTTTTCAAGTAACATAATAAATGTATTATATCTTTTAATTAAATTATAAATATAATTGAAATAATGCCACAAAATGTACTAAATGAAAACATAAATTGTTTTATTAACAAATATTAATGCGTGGAAGATATATATAAATACTAACATAAAAAAAGTATTACTACATGTCTAGATACATACTTCCTATGTTACATCAAACACATAAGTAACAAAGCCAAATATAAATTTATGTAAATTTATATAAATTTATATAAATTTATATTAATTTTGAAATATCCTTTTTATCTTAAGAAATGACAAATTTTTTCAAATTATCTTTTAAAAATAATTCATGCTTCTTGAAATAATATAATTGTATAAACATATTAATTTTGTATAGAATAACACATTTTTTTTTAATGTGTAATTCTTTTTTCATTACAATCAAACTATAGTTGAAGACATAAATTGATTTTTTTAATAGTTCGTAATTTTATATTGCATTAAGCTAATGAAAATAGTAATATATGTAATTATTTATCATTCCTACCTAACTTTCAATTGTAACATAATAAAATTACTGTAACAAAATACTAAGATTTTCATTAACTTTCTTTTTTATCGAAAAATGAGTATATAGATATGTGTTTTTAAGTTCACTATAGATACTTTAAATATATATTTAGAAAGATTATTGGATTTAGACATATTTCAAATTTTATCTCTTTTTAATCAGTATAGTTAATGTATTATTTTATACACATTGTTTCAAACATTGTATATTATAGACGAGAAATATTAAAGACAAGATTAAAAAGTACAATAATTGCATTAGTAAGGAAGCACATTGATATATTACATATAATGGAATAAAGTTTCTAATTAAGATTGTGTTAAAATAAAATTAATCTTTTATTAATGGTAAATCAATTTTACTTCAATACAATCTTAATTGTAAACTTTATTTCATTTAATATGAAAAATAAAGACTATTAAAAGAAATTGTATCTGATAAAATTTTTGCCGATCAAATTTACCAAAAAATATATAGTTCGGATAAAAAGCTTCCAAGCTGAATGGATACATTCTGTATCCATTTATATAAATTAGTTGAAACATGTAATAAAAAGATATACAAAAATTTGAAATATTTTACATATGACTAGTTAAGTCTTTTGATACTTAATTATCGGAAATGAAAAGCCAATATACTTCATTATGTATATCGTATAAAAGCACATGTAATACTGGCTAAATAATATTTAGAATATTGTTAGTAAATTATATTCCATATTATATATATCCCGTCCAATTAATCTCCGGTTCGCAGGTCCTGATTCCTTTGTATACATGTAGATTAATGCTGAATGAAACATTTTAAACTGTAGATGTCCCATGCCATGACATATTGTAGGACGGGTAAACCTCTCTAATTGGCTGCTCCAAATATCTAAAAATAGTATTGGTGTTTCACGAGAAAGCAAACGAAAAACCAAAGTAACATTGTATTTAACACAAGTGCAATAGAACATATGCATATATAAATGTCATATTATGCATCTTTCGTATACATAGTAGAAGAACTTTCATGGGTAATGAGACACATGGCAGCTGTATCAATTATAGCATTTCGTCAAAAGTTTTATAATTATAATAAAACACAAGTGTTTCAGGTAAATAAGTGTCTTATCAAGATATATGTAATAATCTATTATAGTAATATATCGTTCATAACAACGCATTTTTCTAAAGATATAGTTTAACAAGTTTAATGAAAGAGAGAATAAGAGATAGATAGATAGATAGATAGATAGATATATAGAGAGATAGATAGAGAAAGAGAAAGGATGGCAATAAAATGGTACAGATGTCGATTCCTCGTTCCACTTTCTGACCCGCTGCTTCACCTGCCAGCTTCAACTTATATTACAATAATACATGTTATGGAACAAAAATACATACAATATGATAAGTAAAACACAGATATCATATTGATACTATTTATAATATTAATTTCAATCAACTTCTCTTGCTCGATACTTTTTGTTACTTAAACTTAGAACGATGATATCCTATAGTATATATATATATATATATATATATATATATATATATGTGTGTGTACGTATATATATATAAAAAACACAAGACGTTTTATAGTATAAACAGAATATAATCGATTCTCATGACATTCTCAAAGATATATGAAGATTATGAAGCAGTCAACTAGTTATGATAAAAGTATATATGGAGATATAGCAGGTATTAACCGCATCCGGATGGAAAGCTATCTGAAAACTATCTGAAATAAACAAATAATTATGGTAAAAAGAGATGATCCATATACACAAGAAACAGATTTTATTTCAAAGGTGTAAAATATATCGTTATACAAATCATCATATGAACCGTGAATTATCATAGATTTTATATTTTGTAAAAGTTTAATTCAAATTCCCTGAAAGAGGTTCAATGAATATCAGTAGATAACATTTCCTTACACCATTGATTTATAGTATGTCGGAATATCAAGCCAATATAAAGATGAGTATCAAAATAGTATAACTAAAGGTAAATAAATAATTTAACCATTAAGTAACTATTAAATAATCAAATTTTCAAATAGAGTAATAGAGACTGCATACAAACAAATAAAAATTATGACTTCTTGATGTTGGATTTATATATTTTATCAATTTGTAATAAAACACTCAAATTTATATCAGTTTAATATAACAACAAGAACATTTAGAAAATTATATGAACTCTAACCATAATCATTATTTTTTAGTTTTTCATTTAACAGTTAACTATTAAACAAATTATTGGATATTTATCTACTGTATGAAATAAAGTTTTTTTTACAAAACTATTTGAAATAAAGATGATTAAACTAAATTGTAATTAACTTGATTTATAATATATCATTAAAACTGTATGCTTCATACAATTTTCTGAACGTCTATTGTATATGTATATATATATATATCGTATTAAGGTTTACTTACAGCTTGCTTTTTTTTCAAATGGAAGTTTAATTCTCAGAAGTGGACTGTGTATATGGATAATTCTGATATCCTGTTGGAAAAGATGGGTTTTGCTGTCCCGTCTGTGGTTGAGAATTGGATCCAGTATTCGCTGCGTAATAACCAGTTGGCGCAGAACCAGCGTTCATCGTTGGATAACTTCCATAAGCTTGAGGGAATGCATTAGGCGTGGTACCTGGTGGACCAGCCGATTGTCCCTGAAGAGTCTGCATTTGTTGCTGGGCCATTTGGTTTCCTTGCATTCCGAGCTGCAATAATATTACATATGATATCACATACAATATAAAAAAAATACAACATATTAAAATACAACATTGAATATTATATTTTAAGGAAAATACCTTGCCTGCCTTCATTTGAGCTTCTATCGCTTCTGCTTCTTTTATTTTACCGATGCTTCTGTAATATTCTGCCCATTGTACACTATAATCGGCTTGACCGCCATTTTGTGCGGCACCTGCCTGCTGTTGTTGCTGCGCCTGTTGTTGCGGCTGTTGATTTGGCCCAGCGGTACCCGTTGTTGTTGGATTAGATTGGTTTTGTGAATTGCCTAAAATATTTTAATAACATTGTATTTAAGAATATTTTAATATTTTAGAGAATATTTTAATATGTGGTAAAATTTGGGCAAAAAATTATGCTACATCTGTCAACAAAGATTTCCTTTACAACATAACATTGTAAACATGTTTACCTCCTTGCTGATTGTGATCTTGCTTTCCTTGTTTTGCTTGTTGTTCGATCATATCTGCTTCTCTATGCATGCCTAATGACCGATAATACTCTGCCCATTGAGCGCTATAGTCAGGCTGACCAGTCTGTGGATTGACTTGTACAGGAGCTTGATTAGGATTGTCTGTAAGAGTAAATGTATCGCATAATAGATGTAACACTTACCTCCTTGCATGCTATAAGGAATCATAAAACCATACATACTTCCATCAGTGGATTGTGGTTGGTTTGGCCATGCTTGATATCCTGTATTCCAATTTGGATTATACCCTACTGCTCCTTGTGCTGCAGTATATGAAGAACCAGCTGGACCCTTTAAATAATAAATATTATCGAAAAAAATTCTTACGTTAAGAGATAGTCGTATACATATAATTAAACGTATAACTAAATGTACCATGCCCAGCTTTTCGCTAAATATTCTCTTTGCATGCTCGACTTGTTCAGGGTTTCCTCGAATAATGAAAATCTTTTCATTCTCATTACTTTGATTCCTTCTGTCTAACTCACAATGTGCTCCTGTCTGTTGATTTATCTGTTTGATAGTCTCACCACCTAGAATAAAAATTTTAATAACGTATAAAATATATACGTTATACCCGATAACGTATAAAAACATTACATATATTACATTTATTAAATGTAATTCAGAATAAAATAATCAAGATTTTAAATCTTTAAGATTGAAGATTTCAATAATACATATATAACTCTATAATTAACACATATAGCGAATAAAATAAACCTTTGCCAATTATAATGCCACATTTGGAAGAAGGAACGGTAAACGTTGTTTCAATTTTATCTTGCATAGGGCCACCTTGTCGTCTATCCCAGGTTCCGTATTCATTTGGATTACGATTGCCGCCAAAACCATTACCTCTCGGGCCACCGCCTCTGCCTCCCATATTATTTCTACCATCATCTCTCCTCTAAAAATAAAAAATAACATATTCTGTACTTAAAAAATGAATGAAGAGAATCGATTATAATGTTATGCTATTAGCTTGTATATGGATTTATGCATTCTAACAAATTCATAAATAGATAAAATTTATTTACCATGACACTATCAATCAATTCCTGAATTCGTTGACGAGCCTGTTCAACAGCTTGATGCTTCCCTGACAATAAACATTTTCTATCGCCAGGGCCCTCTTCTCTTCCTTGTTGGAACTGAACTTTAGCTCCGCTTTCCGCTTGTATCTTTTTTATCATATCTCCACCTTTACCAATAACGACACCAACTGCGGCTCTTGGAACGAGTACCTATTATTAAATGATAATTTTATAAATTTTAAGAATAAAAAGATGCATCACTCAATTTCTTCTTCTTTCTACAGCCAATAAACATTTTTAATTACATTCGCTTGTAATATAATAAAAATCATTATTAACCTCTACTCCATCACTATTTGCAGGACCATGATTAAAACCACTATCATTAGAATAATTTCCCGTTCTTTCAGTAGCACCTCTTCCTCCTCTATGAAACATTTGTATTTCTTTTTCAGCTATTAATTCATAAACTAATTGCTTTGCATATTCAACTTTTTGAGGATCTCCTGTTATTCTATAGAAAGAAGATATCAGCTTTAAATAATTATGCCATATTGTCCTGATAGATCAAGTTAAAAGAAATAATTATTTGTGTATGCAAAAAAAATATTTGTTTATTTTACCTTAAAGGTTTTTCTTGTTCTTGAGATGGTCCTTCCTGAATAACAACCATTTTAGCTCCAGATTTTTCTTGAAGCTGTTTTATGGTTTCTCCTCCTTTGCCGATTATCAAACCAACTTTAGGACCTGGAATCATTATCTCAACAAATCCTGGATGTCCCATCATTCCGCCACCGCTACCACTCATATTCATATCACCAATTCCCTCACTTCTGCTTCTTTGATTTACTATTGATAACACAAGCTCCTTTGCTCGACTGAAACACATAAAATACCAAAGTACAATATTTTTTCAACTAAACTGTTTTACATGTGTCAAAAGATTTAATCAACAACAATAAAATTTGTTTGCAACACATAAATATGCACTAATATCTATTGCGGATCAAAATTATATATCACATTTGTAATATATAGTTCTCTTTTCTAATGACCAATATCTTCAAAAGGTATAATAAAAGGTTTCAAAAATTTTATATCAAAATGCCATATATATTTAAACAGTTTCTAATAAATAAATAAAATTTTCTTCATGTTGTGATTAACACGTCCCCATGCATATCCTATCCTCCTTCCTTCCTTTTCTCTCCATATCCTATTAAAAGCAAAAAACTATTAGTAAATACAAAATTATTAAATTAAAAGATCAACTCATTAATCAATTTTCAATGGTCAGAAATTCTGAAGCTTATAGAAAGTCAAGTATTGAACCCGCTATGGCATCCAGGAGCTAAATAAAGATTCTGTAAAACATTTCATAATTTCAATATGCGAAAGCATATGTCTTACATTTATAAAATGCATGTTAGGATGAAATTGTAGTGTATATAAAATATACTGACATACACAAGCTGTTATTAAAATGTATCTCAATTACACTGTCTAATAATAGGATCAGAAAGCATTGTGCAATATTTATACATTATCATAACATCGCAGTTTGATATAAAACGATTTTTCAGTCATTTTTGGGGAGTGACAAGATGGGAGTGTGGTGAAAACATTTACACTTAAATAAATTAGAATATAAAATATCCCTATATAAATTTAAGGAGGATAGCAGATTTGCTTGGCTGATTTACAATTTTGACAGAAAAGTATTTTTCACAACCCAGAATCTATAAACATAGAACTTGAACTGACAATCATATCCCATTTCAATAAAATAATTGCATTCAAAGTCAACAGACAAAAGTAAATTCATTATCATTCATTGTGTGGTAAATTCTTATCATTCATCGTGATATAAAGTCATGGTATTGCATTGCATACAAAATAGTTATAAAATTAACGAAATAAGAAGGGAAAACAAGTTACTTGACAGCTTCTCGTGAACCAGTTAGCGTGCAAACACGCTCAGGTAGCCCACCGCTTTCTGGTGCCATTTGAATCTTACATCCTGTTTCAGTTTGCAATCTTGTTATCTGTTCTCCACCTCTGCCAATTACTGTAAATATATTATTATTACTTAAACGTAATTACATATCTAATGCTCCTATTATTACATTTCAATTACAAGTAAAAAAGAATCAATCAATATAACAAAAACAATACACATAACTATTCTAAAACGCAACAAGATTTTCTAGATTAATGTTAAGATAATAATAATACTTAAGCTATTAAATTTTATAATAATATTATGTAACAATCATATAATGTCACAATAAATAATAAACTAAGGATATCATAACACATCAGGTTATGCTCTTAAATAAGAACAGATTTAATATATTATAGAATATTCATACAAAGAATACAGTAATCTCTTCCATAATTTTACTTACTTAAACCAACCATTTTGTCTGGAACTCTGATATCTTCATTGCACATACTACATAATGGATTGGAAGAAGGCGGTCTGGCTCCTTGACCACTTGAATCTCCAATGGAATTACCTGCAGGTCCTCCACGAATACCTATTAAAGGATCTGCTACTAATGATGCCATTTTCTTTGCTTCTGGCTCTAAAAATACAAAACATAACGCAATGTTAATACAGAATATACACAAATCTGAAAAATTTGTTAACCTTCATTAATAAAGATCTATAGAAGAGATATATATTTTCAATATATTTTTAAATACATGTATTACCTGAACTATCTTCAAGAGGACGTTTTAACTTGGAATCCTGATTATTTTGAGCACCACCAGGATTTATCTTCGCAGCAATCTGCAAAGATTAATCAAAGATATAAACTTAGAATAGAATGCTTTACTTTCTAAACTGAATTATTATATACTTCTGTATAAATATTTCAGTTAAATGAAATATTTACAAATATTATATTATACAAACATTATAATATCCTCAGACGAGCCAAATTGGTTATCACTATAAAAAAAAAAAAGAGAAAACTGAACGAAATATTATAAACGAATCCTATTCTGATATTAAAAGATTTATAAATATGGATCAATCTAGCCAGGCTTGTATATCGTAGAAATTTTCCTAAATCGGTTCACTGTGTATAAAATAAAGTAAATTCGAAAAGTAACAGTCGCGTCGGAACGGCCGCGAATTGCCGCGAGGAAGTGACGCTCAACTCGCGTGTGGACGCACACGGCTGACACGGCGCCGTCCGCTGTCGTCGACGTGTTCATCACGGAATCGTAATTACCTGCTTGGCGCGTTGGAGTGCCGCCGCGAATGCGGTGCTTTGGCTGAAGTTCTGAGGCGGAGCGACCGCTGAGTAGTCACTCATGTTGGTGCATGAAGTTATTGGGACTGGTTGAGGAATCTAGTTAACGTTGTTGGCGCTGGTTCAATCACCGGCTGTCCCAACGATCCGTTTCACCGTTGCGAGTGGTAACGCGATGGAACGAAAACGGTCTGCAGACGCAAGAAATAACACTTTTATGGAACGTACGACGCCGTACGCAAAGAACGGAAAAGTTTGCTCACTTTGCGGCAGTCGCGAGTGAAAGAACCGTACTTTCACGGGGGAACGCAGGGGAACGACACAGCGCAAGCGTCCGCCGTTGGGTGCGCGGTCTTTTTAGTACGGAAACTTGCGAAAACTTGCATCCTCGTCTCGATTCGTCGATAATTAGAGACGCGGGATCACGTGGTGCGATGCTCTCGAGAATGGTCAAGATTGGCTGCGTTCAGAATTATCATCTGAATGCACCCAGATGTCATTTTATTCTTGTTGTTCACGAATGTTAAACAAAGACAAAAGAACATCTGAATGCATTCAGCAACGATTCTGAACGCAGCTTTGCAAGGCTGCGTTCGGAAATATCATTTTAGTCTCTCCCCCTTCCATCACATTTCATTTTATTCTAATTACCCTATTTTAAACAAGGATAAGATAATATATGGAGGCATCCAGGTGATATTTCCGAACGCAGCCCAACTGTTGTAAAATTCTTTAATATGATTGGTTTTGCTTTTAATTCCTCACTGGATCTAAATGCATAAACTAATCATATTTAAGAATTTTACAATAGTAAAATTCTTCGTTAAAATTACGGAACTGCTTTTTCTGCTAAACGCAGCCAATGTGTGTTTCAAAACCAAGGCTGCGTTCGGATTCCTACCTGGGTGCTTCTTGAGGTGTCATGTCATCCTTGTTTAATGTTCGATAAACAACAAGGATAATATGACATCTGGGGAACACCGAGGTGAGAATTTGAATACAGTCCAGCAATATTAAATCTGTGGCGTAAAATCTGTTGATTTGCTGATTCGATTCCGAGTTAATAGTTTGTTCTTTTTAATCATATTTTTTGCACTTTAACTCTTCTTATGCAGTTAAAAAAAACAGATAAGCTTGTTCTTTTTGACTGAACTTTTGGCATCAGTTCATTTTTCTTTTCTCTCCAGTAGCGAGATTCTCTAAACATCGATGTTTGTCGCTAGAGGGTATAAAGAGAGTGACGCCAATTATCGCTATTTAGTGTCCTACATCTAGGGTATCTATATGATGTAATTCTTCGTCTTAACCTTTTTTTCTTTAACATTGTCTTCTTCTAACTAAGGACAGGAACAATAAGGACACCTAATGGGTAACCAATCAACGTTAGAAGTTCGAAAGAAGTATACAATAAAAAAAACAGGGAACAGAGAAGAGAGAATAAGAATTTCAACCTATTAGAAACTGTGTATTCCACAATACATAATTTCTGATAGGTTGAAATATTTATTCTCTGTTCTCTGTTCTCTGTTTCTTTTATTGTGCGGAGCCCCTCAAGCACATGCATTGACTTCATTCCTTTTAGGTTATTTTTCATTGCTACACTTTCTGAACTAATACACACAGTGCAATAAGTTGAAGTGAAACAAACGTTTGTTTCACTTTAACTTATTGCACCGGTTCAGAGTGCAGCAATAAAAAAACAGACCTTTTATACTCATTCTAATTGTCGCTATTGTTAACCAACGACAGCCAATGACAATCCTGGAAGAAAGCGCGGCACTCGTTGGTTGTTGCTAATAACGATAGCTACATAATTATCGATATAACGTTTAGAGAATCTCGCAAGGAAAGAAGAAAAAAAATGAACGGGTACAAAAATTCAAACAAAAAAAAACAGACCTAATGAATATGCTAAGCACATGTGACGTAAATTATAAATTTTCAAATTAAACATGGCGGAATATCGTGACTGTTCGAAATTGACCGTCATATTCAAAAAGTAGAATTCTTTGATAAGCATCGACAAAATAGTTGACTATCTTTTGTCTGTTTTAAAGATAAATTAACAAGAATATTACTTTATTTATGTACAATCTGTATATTTTTTTGATGAAATAGTAATTAAGGCAGATATATATAAGGTGTAGTAAAAAGAAATCCATTATTTTTGCATGAAATTGAAGGCTTTATTTAGTATAGTTAGAATGATCCGATTTAGGTCAAATATTCATTGTTTTATTCGATAACTTGTTGCTATTTTGAAGGTAATTCCATTATGCCTTTCTCAGAAAGGCAGAACCTTCGTCCCTATTGACAAAAAACTGGGACAGTCGATTTTCACAAGCTTCTCTTGAGGCGAATTTTTCACCAGCAAAATTATTCACCATAGACAGGAACAGATGGTAATTACTTGGAGCCAGGTTCGGACTATAAAATGGATGCATAAGAACTTCTCAACCAAGCTCCTGGAGCTTCTGGCGAGTCACTATCGATGTGTGTGGCCTTGCGTTGTCCTGATAGAATACAATTCCTCTCCTATTGGCCAACGCTGGCCGCTTCTGAGCGACGAGCGCTTTCTGAGCGCTTCTCTTGCTTCCTTCAGACGGTCCAATTGTTTACAGTACAGGTCTGAATTAAGAGTTTGGCCGTAGAGGAGCAGCTCATAGTAGATGATCCCTGCCAATCCCACCAAACACACAGCAAAACCTTCCTGGCCATCAATCCTGGCTTGGCCACCGTTTGCACCGGCTCACCGCGACCGTTTTCGCTTGAAGTTGTCGTAAGTGATCCACTTTTCATCACCAGTCACTATCCGCTTCAAAAATGGGTCGATTTTGTTGCGATTCAGCAGCGATTCGCAGATGGAAATTCGGTCCATGAGGTTTTTTTGCGTTAACTCGTGTGGCATTCATACATCGAGCTTCTTTTTGTATTCAGTCTTATTCAAGTGGTTCCAAATAATTTTTTGTGCAATGTTTAGCTCGAAACAGTGCAATCGAAACAGTGCTTACATGACGGTCGGACTTGACGATTTCCATTATATTTTATCGCCATTTTCGACAATTGGCCTTTCAGAGCGTGGTCCATCTTTGACATCAAAATTACCGCAACAGAATCGACGAAACCAAAATTGGCTGTTACAGTATCAGGACCATAAACACTATTCACATTTTCAGCCGCCTGGCTTGCGTTTTCGCCTTTATCGAAGAAAAATTGTAAAATATGGCGTATTTTTTCTTTGCTAGTGTCCATCTTTGACACGCACTCTGAGTCAATCACAAAACTGAGAAGTTTTTTTTAGTACGAAATCTTATCTTTGTAACGCCATCTAGCGTAACCCGCACTTATACAACGCGAGATGCAGATTACTAAAGCCATCTATTGGAAAAATAATGGATTTCTTTTTACTACATATTATATATTATAATATTAATTTATTCTTAGGATAATCAAAACAATTAATCTCGATGTTATCCCCACTTTGGTAGTCATGAAAATTTGTCCAGGGTTAACTGTACTAATATTAATCTTAGTTTTAGAATGTTAAAATGATTCTTAATATTGGGTGTGGGAAAAAGTTTGTGGCGTTTTTCCCGTTAGATGGCATTAAATGCTCAGCAGTCGGCAACTACTAATCGCATCGGCAACACTAAACGTGCGTTTAAAAAGTGACATTTTAACCTTTGTTTTGAGCCGAAAAAGATTGAAATTGGTGAAGTGGATCAAAAGTTATTTTATTTTGAATATGGAAATAAATAAGGAAAAAATTCGCTACATTTTGCAGTATCACTACGATAAAGGCAAGAATGATGCACAGGCTTGTGAAAAAATTTGCGCTATTTACGGTGAAGATACTCTATCAAAATCAGCAGCACGGAAATGGTTCGCTCGCTTTCGTGCTGGAAATTTCGATGTGAAAGATGAACCTCGCTCCGGTAGACCAATCACTGAAAAGTCCCATGAAATCATAGTAAAAGTCGAGCGTGATAAGCATGTGAGCACTGTGGAGATTGCCAGGGAACTAGGCATCGACCACAAAACAGTTTTAAATCATTTACACAAAGCTGGATATAAAAAGAAGCTCGATGTTTAGGTTCCTCATGAGTGTTAGGAACATGATGGACCGAATTAACATTTGTGATACGCTGTTGAAACGGAATGAAATTGAGTCATTTCTGAAGAGAATGATAACTGGTGATAAAAAATGGATCACCTACGACAATCCAACTAGAAAAAGATCATGGATAAAGAAAGGAGAGAAGGCGCAAGCAATCGCAAAACCTGGATTGATGAGGAAGAAGGTGATGTTGTGTGTGGTAGAATTGGAAGAGAATCGTTCACTATGAGCTGTTATCGTCCAATCAAACAATTAATTCCGAATTCTACTGTGAACAATTGCAGAGATTACAACAAGCAATTGAGAGGAAGCGGCCAGAATTAATCAATAGGAAAGGTATCATCTTCCATCATGACAACACTCGACCACACACATCTTTGATGACTTGGCAAAAATTGCGAGAACTTGGCTGGGAAGTTTTAATGCATCCACCATATAGTCCTGACATAGCACCCTCAGACTATCATTTGTTTAGGTCTCTGCAGAACTCTCTTAATGGTGTAAAGCTAGTTTCAAAAGAGGCCTGTGAAAATCACTTGAAGCAGTTTTTCGATCAGAAACTACAGAAGTTCTATTGCGATGGAATTATGGCTCTGCCCCAAAAATAGCAAAATATTATAGAAAATAATGGAGCATATTTGGTTTAAATAAATTGATTTCAATACTCTAAGAAAAACTTTAATTTTACTAAAAAATCGCCACGAACTTTTTCCCATACCCAATATACTGCAACCACATTATCAAGTCATTTTGTGATATAATTATAATTAAAATGCAATTATGTTCTGTATACTTATTATACTCTTCTTTTTTTATATATTTATTATGATATCTTGTAAAAATTTTTTGTAGTCCGGTTTCATTTATTACGTTCTTCTACTTGTATGAACATTATTCTTAACGAATAAAATTGCGCAATTAAGTTATGCTCGATCGTTTTTTATAATTTGCATAAACTGTTTGCATAAGCATTGATGAATAAAGTTACATGGAGATACACTTATAGTTATAATCATTTTTATAATCATCTTTATACGTTTGCTGAACAGTTAAAAGTATCCCTCATATAGCTGCTCATAATATATATAACATATATAACAAAAGAAAAGGGTTAATAATAAGCAATTTATATATACTATATATTTCTTTTAACAAGAATAGATTCATCATTTATCGCAATCCTTTTCTGTGTATCTTTTTTCCTACAAAATTAATATACAATGTTAATAAACTAAAAAACGTAGGAGATAACAGAGCACAGAAAAGGACATAGTCATTAAATAATCACATTTTATACGTTTTCATATTTAACATATTAATAATAATAATAATATAATTATTTATTTTATATTACATGGCATTTGCTTGTATTAAATTACATTTTTGTAAAGAATTTTAAATATGTATAAATTATTTATAAATTTTCATAAAAATCAAATATATTTAAGTACAAATATGTAAAATATATAAAAATAAAAATAAAAGTAAATATTATATATTGTATGCATAATAAAAACATTTACCTATAATGAAACATTTTTATTACACACTTTTTTATGCTTCCACCTAAAAAGTCTAATCAAATTAAAATAAATTCTAAAAGTATTGTTCTCTGAATGTTAAGTACATCAAAACGGTTATTAATTAATCCTTATGTTTTTCTGTATTACGTATTCTTTCCATTAAAGCCCGTGTAATGTTACCAGGTACTTTCTGATGTTTTCTTATTAAATCTCTAAGACTATCGGCAACCTGAAAGTATGTTGTAAAATATTTTTGAATGATATTACCTAGAATACTTGTTTTACACTGCTTCGTAATTTTATTTACCTTTATCTGTAATTCTTCGGGTGTAAGATTCCCATCATATGGAATAGGCTTGCCTATATATGTTACTAATTTTACTGGAAAGCCACCAAAGATTGGTACAAGAGGAAGCTTTGTCTTGGCATATATCTTCAGCCATATTCTTCTTCCCCAACTTACTGTTCTAAATGATTCTCTGAGATTTTTCGTAAAGAATGGGACTATACTCTAATAATGAGAAAGAAAGCAACTGTTATAATAAAAACCACAAATAAAACAATACAAAAATTTTTGAAGAAAACGTACCACTTTTGCATCCAAAGCAACCTTTGCAAAACCCATTCTTTTCTGCCACATAAGTTCATAATAGGAATCTCCAAACAGAGCTTCATACACGCCACCTGGAGCAATAGCAAGCATGTTCCCTTCTTTTAAAATAGCAGAACACGATTGAATTGTACCAGGTATAATTTTCAAAATATCAGCAAATATGGACCATCCAGGGATCTTGAAGAGAAATCGGTCTACTACTAGACGGACTAGCCTCGAATTATATAGAAATACTTTCGATGTGAAATAATATATATCAACTGGGAGAGCTCCATGATAATATATAAATAATACTGGTTTATCTTGTGGAATATTCTCTAAGCCCACAATTTCATATCCTATTAAATATGTTATTTATATTAATAAATAGTTATATTAATGAATAAAGCTACTAAAAATTTATATAGCTTAATTTAAAAGCATTCTAATGCTTAATCTTATAGACAGATTATTAAACTGGAACCTACCATGCCAAATCCAACCATGTGCATCCCAGACAGCTGCGACCATATGAACAGCTGTGTCTCGCCATGCAGTACCATAAGCATTTCTCAATTTAACCCTAAAACAAAATATTTCTTTTATGTATATGTGTATATAAACAAGGGAATTATTATGAATACAAACGATTTTGTCGAATGTACATTAAAGAGATATATGTTAAAAACTATTACGTTTCACGTGTCGCTTCTAAAAATAATTTATTTCATTCTATTATAATAATTGGCTTTATACAAATATGATGTTTGTTATAGTTAATATTAATAAATTATATTGTGTATTTGTTTACAATATAGACAAGTTATACTTTCAAACCTGTGTAACTTATAGATGTACAACATTAAGGCAGTTAAGTACAATAGCAGCGCAATTACAAGCGGGAGTAGAAATGTTATGAGTAGTGGCATTAAGAGCCATGTCAGCCATAATGTAAAGTCCAAATCAATGTACTGAACTGAAAATAATATGAAGTACATTTTTTAACAATCATTAAACTGCATCCTTCAATCATAATACATTCTTTCTTTAATATAAAAATTACAAAAAAAAATCTTTACTTATGCAAACAAGAAGCATCTAAACATGCAATCTTAAATTTATTTTTTTAATATATATATATATTGTAATACATAATGGAATTGTTAAGAGAGCAATTTATTTAAGTTATCATAATAGGCATAATAATAGGTAATTGTTAGAATAACACTGTGTAATTCTAATAGCAATGTATCAAGGCTAATTTTAATACAAAATGATACCTATAACATCTTCCACCATCAACCACAAGTTGTACACGATTGAAAACATGTTTAGACCAATATAAAAAGAAGACGCAAGACATAAAGATAATTTAAAACAATTGAGATGCTTATATCTTTCTAGCAGGAAGCACTCGTATACTCATTATTACGATACCAAGGATCCTTTCATATTTATATGTCATTCTATATATAACTATACATCTAACACAATTAGCATTCATTTAAATTTATTTAAATTCCAAAATTATTTCCATCAAGACTGTTATTCATTAAATCGTTTTCTATGATTGAACAGGCAATCAATCGGTGTAAATCCGAATCGTCTCAAATCGTTCCACAAAGTGATACGCCAACCTCATTTTCATGATGCATTGTAATATTATTTTAAATTAAAATTATTGGAATCACGATCATTATTGAAAACTCAATTTCATAATTCATTATAAATGAAGCTATAATCTACAATATCAAAAAACATCAAGCCACACTTTCATATATATATAT